GATAAACCCTTCAGCTGAATGGTGAATATTTCTGACGGTTGGGCAATATGGCCAAATCTTGGCCCATCAGTGAAAAAACAAGTCCATGGATTTCTTGTTGCCTGATCCGATGCCTGCCATGCACTTGGTTCTGGTTGCGGTCTGTATCATGCCTTGTATAGAAAAGGTGTCACAGAAGTGTGACACTGTGACCCAATTCACTTCGATATATTGTATGGCACAGATGTATGCATAGACCGCCAAGAATCAAAATTCGCCCACCAAAAACAGCTGCAATGAGATTCGCAAAGTTAATGTATATCGCCTATTGGTTGCCCGATTTGAGCGAGGGCATATGTCATTTTTTTTCTCGCTAAGACGACGAAAGAAAGTCTGAGAAATCGTGCTAGCGCTTTGCAGGTCATTATAGCTATTGTGGGGAAGGTATCGTGGTGAAACGTGTTGGAGAAAGAGAACGTACATAATACGCTCTCACCTATCCGTATGTTGCTCTGATTGGCCGATCCAACTAAACCCACGATCTCCAAGACAACTGGGTACATGAAGCAGGCAGAATTGATATATAAGAGCTTGTCGGGAATAGTACAGATACTTCTGAAACTGAATTCGTGTTTGCGAGAGAATAGCTTGCTTGTTCGCGACTAACCTTTTTATAGAGCCACTTATTGTTTGGACACAGCAGTCGTGAATAATCTATAACGTGACAGAAAAATCGCAATGCGCTACACATAGTCATCAAGCGAGCACTTCATTCATATTCGCCGGATGCGGATAAGGAGGAGCTGTTCAGTGTGTGAATGAATGAATTGTTCGTTTTCAAGTGGCTATATTCTCCGAATAACGATTGTTGGAAGGGCATAAACGATAGATGGCTTGAATACGGTTTGGCGGCATAATTGTTGTATACATTGTCCAGCAGCCTCAAATGTACTAAACTAAATATCAAACCATATTGTCTGTTCTGGTATGACAGAGCGAGACTTCAAATTGTACAAGACAATTGGTACGAAAACTCGGTCACGGCTTGCCGTTTTAAACACCAATACTTTTCGCAAAATACTCGTAAGGGCGAACCGGTTGCCGCGCGTCAAAACCCGATTGCCGAGAATCAGGACGAGGGCGATGCAGTTGGTTCGTGATCCAAAAAAGTTATGAACACGGACGAGGGAAACTTGCTAGTAAATCCAGATGTTAAGTGAGCAGACTAGAAGCTCATCGGATGGCTATGAGATTGTGCCGGCGATGACTGCGACGAAGGATAGCCAACTTGTATTCATCAATGGCTACTGTGAAAATGAAGTTCGTGACTTAGGAGATTTGACCCTTGCATGTGCAAAACAATTGGACTGATGTCAAAGATGAGAAGTATGAGTTAATATGATCTATTAACACAGTAGGTATTTCGCTGCGCCCCACAGCATTCACTACCGGTGGTATAGTGAAACGCGAGAAGAGAAGAGGGTATCTACGAACAAGAGTCAAACGTAGCTGCAAGATGAGTATCTATATCTAGTTCTACATATACCTTTGTTGCCTAATTATGACGGATTGAGTGTCGATACGCAATAGTGGAAAAGATCGTGTACCTAGCTTGTATCACAGGTGGTAAAAAGGGGTACCACGTGCAGGCGATTTTTTACAATAAGAATAAAAGATATAGAGACGATGTAGCGGACTTGCTTACCCATTGATAAGGTTCTATGGACAAAGCTTGCAAGGGCATACAGTAGGACGCATGGATATAAATTATTCCCAAAGGACGAAGATCATAATAAATTTGGTGGCAACCGATGCGACTGAATCTAGTAGTAACGACAACGATAAATATACAAAGTTGAACTCGTTTTTCAAGCAGATAAGAATGCAAACTACTCTTACCCAAGTATTAAGTTCTGGGCATCTTTTTATAGAGTACTACTTTCAAAGTCAATGACACGTAAGCGTGTACTTACCGAAGGTGAAATGGAAATACCAAGCAGATAAAACTAGATACTCGATTGCGCATTATGAAACTATGCCCTATGTACCGAAACCCGCCTCCTCTTTCGCTCTTTTTGTTTTGACGGTGCATCGTCAACGCTAATGTCGCGACTCGTAGCTGGAGGGATGTTGTGCTAAGTCAGAAATTACACCATCGCCATCGCCTGCTATGAAATCACGAGATCAAGAGGGAAAATGGTATCTTGGTCGGAAAAAATGATGAGGTATGCCTGCATGGCTGGCAGCAAATAGGGCTAATGCATTTTGAGCTACCTACTGGGAAAGTCAAAATTGAGACATTACAAATCGCACGGAACGATTAGAATTTGATGCTACAACACATTCGCCGCGCACCAACTCGCAAGGTGCTTCCCATGACAAGGCTGCACAGCAACCTGAATCAGCACATCACAAGTAAAAAGTGATCAGAACTTGCATCGAGACAGATCGTGATTGGACGATGGCCCAAGATGAATCTAACGGGAGATAAAACGGCCGACACAACACTATGTGTAAGCACTTTGTAAAAAAATGTAAAGATTGTGCAGGCACTGGGGGATTTCACAAGCAGTATTAAAGTTACAACTCCTGGCCTTGTCACTACAACAAAATAATGTGCCCACAGACGAGCGTGTCGTTCTTGATGTACGAGTTAATGGGTATAAAATAAAAGTGTTGTTGGTATCAGGGCTCGTAGATTTTATGCATGCCATCACGTTTCTGTAAAATATATTATGTGACTTGTAAATTGGAAAATACTATATTAAAGTTAGCCAAGAGATAATGTGTCGAGAAGTTGCTGTTGCTTTACGACTCACATTATCAAATTAACGATCAGTAGTCACAAGTAGTTACCAAAACAGTTATTTGTAACACAATGGATGGTTTGCTGTCGTTAGGTACAACTACTATATGTTTACCTACCAACATTGATCCAAAATAAATAAATACCAATCAGATGAGAATTTATTGAAGCTGCGACATATAAGCTTTCTAATACTGTAAAGGTAATAATTCCGCATTTTACAGAGAAGCTAAAGGATCTTATATTTGAGAACAATGGAATTTAATTTCACAGACTGGGCTATATTCGAAATTTTTCAACAGATATGTGAGCTTAAACTAGACTAAGGTGGACCCCTCAAAGCATAGCGTAGAAAATAAGGTGAATATCAACTAACCTAGTACTAGGTTGGTTTATTCAGTCATTCACCTAATTTACTATATTGAGTGTCCAACACGCAACTATGTTGCATAACGTCATAAATAGATGGTCAGAGATCAATTCGAGGCCTGGTTGGAAGCTGGAGTTGTCAAAGCAAACAACGAGCTTCACCCCAGTAAATCTAGCACTTTTGACCGTAGGCCAGCTCAATTCTAATAGGATTTTAAAGAAGATGCAAGTGTATGCGGACTTGAGCCCAACACTTAGTTTTCACTTACCGATGATTAATGGGTTACTGAGACGAATTGGAAAAGCACACGCCATCGATTTAAAATGAGGATATCGCCATATGAAGATACACAAGCCACACAGGAAGCACTTCACGTTTACCTGGGATTGATAAAGTACTCGTTTAACGGGCCACCATTTGGTATCACATGTGCCCGCCCATCGGTTGTTCTAACGAATCATGTAGAAACAACGAACAAGTGTATATAGATGACAAAGTAGTCTTCACCAAGACCAAAAAGAACACAGGCCGAGTTATCAGAGAGGCGCTAAAAAGACTGAACAAGCACGACTTCAAATTAACAACAATAAGTGCAACAAGTGCCACTTCGGTGTTAACGAACTACAGCTGTCATTATACATCGATCCAAGAAAGGTACAACACTTACTAGATTAAAGAGCGCCCACGTCCGGAAGAATACAACCAGCATAGTCGGTTTCGACAACTTCTTGTCGGGTGAAGTTCCTCATCTATCAAGCTATTTGATACCTTTTGGACATTTGAGGCGTCATAAAGGTAAGCTACGAGCTTTATAAGCCAATGGCTGTGACGACGCCTTTAAGCAACTCAAAACAATAAGCACTGGTAGCCCAGCCACCAAGAGATGGAGTAATGTTTATGGTAGCGGCATGAGCATCCAGAAGGACACTGGAGGTGTACTGTATCGAAGGCTTGATGCGAACCTAAGGTATATGCAGTTCGTTGACAGAACTATAAACTTGTAGAGTGTAAAGAGTAGCTGGAAAGGTACGACCAAAGCAAATAATAGGCCTCTCTCAAGTACGATTATCTCAGCTAGGAAAAGTCCGTAGTTTGAGAAAAACGAACTGGTGATTTCTAATGTTTTAATTCACTAGACTCAGATTTCTTGTACTTGAGTGTTTCTCTCACACCCGGGGTCCCAGTTTAATTTACCGGTTCTACCGCTATTTTTCTGAAGGCTCTAATATCAGGAATAGATCCAGACCCAAAACTCAGTATCTGATGATTCTGTGGTTTGAAGTATTGTATTGACTTTTTGTTAATCTGGTCCCTAGATGCTACAGACCCCCAACTTTGTATATCTGCGATTGTGTAGGAGTGGAAAGTGACATCTTACAGTAGTAGATCATCTTGAAGTTGGTGTTTTTGTACAGGAAAAAAAAAAGAGGCTTTTTAGCAGGTAAACAAAACCCCCCCGCCTCCATTTCTATTCTTACGTATTACCTAATTAAGAATACTATTACGGGAGTTCTCAACCACGTTCATCGGAGTAAGTCTTGACCTGTGTCCTTGGTTAACAACTTAGCTTGGTAAAGCGCATCTCAACGGTGGCTCTACAAACCGAGTCTTTGGTCCTTATCCATTTGTAGTGTGGGCGGAGCATGTTTCAGGGTGAGAAACGTGAAAGTGTCCCTCGGTATCAATGAAACTTGGTCAAGTATCTCGCCTCGTGCGCTTTCTGTTACTCACTGATCGTTCATAAGTGCTCGCTGCTGTTGACTTCGTCGGCCTGGATTGCCTTCCGCTTGCGGCTGGTCCGTCGTCGGTAAATTGTAAGAACATCAACATCTGCGATGTTTGTTTCATGCGTCCAGGTACGCTCTCCATATGTCCACTGCAGTAGGTGCTACTGGGATCAATCGCTGCTGTTGGATGGCCGGTGGTCTGATATTGAGGAGAACTGTGTCTCCTGAGATATTTGTACATCTCCCAAACCATTGGCCTTCTTTATGAGGTCGATTAATTCATTGCTGACCGAGTTACTGTATTCCGGGGCTTTAATCGCATCAAAGTTACAGTCGTTGCCTTCCCTGCTTATTATTTTGCACTGTCCGCCATATGGTGCTGTCATTTTGTTCTTTTTACCTTGATAGCGAATCATTTCAATGTCCTCTGACTGGATATTTTTGGTCATGTGCTGCGCACATTTTTAACTTGATATTGCACAGCAGGAGTGTCTAGTTGTGGTCTGGCTCTTCTAGATTTCTCAGTTGCTGTCTCCATGGTACTGCTGTATTTGGTACGTTCACTACTGTATTGTAATCCGTTAGTTGATTTAATCTGCGTCCAAAATAAAATAGAATCGAGGTGATTTATGTCTTCTTGAAAACCGAATATTGTGACCTATTTGTACGAATGAATGTCTCGAACGCGAGTTGCCTTAATTTTACTTAACGAATTTCCTTATCAATGGTATGAGGTCTCTATGTGATCGTTCGTTTGCACCTAAGACATTGGGTTGGTATGGGCGTGAGACTAGGTGTCGTGTCGGCGTTTGTGCAATGACGTTTGAAAGAATATCATTGGCATATTCGGTGTCTTGGTCTGTTTGTATGACTTGTGGGCATCCATGTTTACACACTATTGGTACCAGCGTTCTTGCTACGGTAGCTGCTGATATGTCCATCATTGCTATGAGTATCATCTGTTTGAGTCCAGTAGTGAGCCTATGGTGTTCATTTGTATTTTGTCGCCTGGAAACGCGGCTGAAATAGATTGTAAGGGATAGAACCCCTTTTCGAAAATTTGTTCTTGAGACACAGTACACAACTTTATACCTGTTGAACTTGTGGCCAACCATGTCTATTTACTTGCAGTTTGTTTCCCGTCACCTCTGGTGTATGGTATCCCAGATTGTGGTATTGATCGATGGTGTGGATTTGTGCCTCATAGTTGGTCTTATTTTTTTCATCCTCAATGAGAACTATTTGTGATGCAGAGATACGTATGGCTGGATGTTCATGCCTTGAGTTAAAATTTGGAGCTATAGTACTCATCTTTGCCACTAATGTGACGGCCCATGGGGGTTTGCCACATACTGTCGTACCTTCCTCGAGGAATGATTTGTTTGTGCATGTTTCCCTGTAGATGACAGCGGCAAGTTCACTGTTGTTGTTTCTGTATGTTTATATATGTGACCATATTTGTGCCATTTATGTACATTTTCATTCGTTTGTAAGCTGTACCTGTGGTCCAAAGGACAATTTTGCTTGCCTCATTTGACTTACCGTGACTTTAGAGCCCGGTAGGTTGTAATGTACATCTGGAGGTATTTTTGAATTGGGTTCTAAGAGGTCTGCCAGTGACACTTTAAACCCTTCCTGTTCGTGCGCAGGATCTTCCTCATGAAGTATGAGCAGTGATTCCCATTTTGCATCTGCTGGCTTAAGTGTATTTATTAATCCTGCTATGTATATCCTTATGTATGAGAGGATATTTGCTTCCGCCCACCAGTTGTTTCACGACTTATCACCATCTGTTAACTCTTCTACCTTTCCTGTGGTAATGGATCGTCGTGCTAAGTGCACTTATTATATCCTCTGTAAGACAAATGAACTCAAACTTTGGCTGAGAACATTCATATTTGTTTTATAGTGTGCACTGACAACGGTAGCAAGTTTATAGTAAATGTTATGACGACACTGTTACTTGTTGCAGATACATGCCATAAAATGGGTGTACCATATTAACCTCAGATACAAAGTGCTATCGAGGTGAGACATGGGAAGATAAAAAAAATTCATGAGAAGAGCGTTACTTGACTGGGATGACGTGTGACCGTAATCAATTAACTGAGTACAACCGCTCACTATTTCGGGGGACATTATAGTAACGTATACGTACCTTCTCAGGAAGATATTGTATTGCCCTCGTTGTAAAAGCTGCGTAGAACCAGAAACCTAGTTTTTCCTCGTTTGAGGGACATGAAGAATATCGCTTTGAAAAAGAGACTAAAGATATAGTCGAATTTGAGGTCGGGGACATATCCAACAAAAATATTTACAATTCCGACACGACTGTGCTTTAATACGGCCAAGTATATTGTACCGTTTGTGATTTCAGTGGCCGATAAGAAGAGTGGAACGTATGAGGTTGATAACATTGATGGCTCGGTGCCTTAGATATTGGATCACATCGCATCCCGACGAAAGAAATCGTACTTCATTGCACACGTGAAGCTAATACATATCTTATATCTTACGTGCTCAATATGGTTTTCGGGAAATACAAACATGCTGATTGTATAATATTTACAAAACAATATAATACGCAGACGAGGCAGAATACGATATAGCACCATCAGCTTTTGATGATCCAGATTATATCAAGTTTCGCAAACGGCTTCACAAGAACAAGTCTGATGCTGGTGCGATCTTACTCACAAACAAGCAACCTGATGTAGTTAGGTAATATCAACCAACATCATTCATTATAAGCTTATAAGATCATGGCAAGTATGTCTCCAAAAATCCAATTTTTTTCCCCAAAAAAGCGTCCTGCTCAACATCGAGTACCTCTAAGTCATAAACATAAACGTGACAGTGTATGCGAGGTTAGGCATACTTTGTCTGAGAACATATAACCAAGTATTAAGACAATGGTCGAATCCCTTTTTTCTTTTTAGCTTGTACAATTCATGTGAGCTTTCTGAGACTAGGGTTCACATTTGTAAGCCAACATTATAACTTTCAAGCTGAGGGTGAGAGGGGCTATGTAAAATAGCAGCACATGATTACATAAATTTTAATTATGAGGCCGAATACTGTCAATGCAAGCTGCTGTGTATGCTGCGCTAAATCATATTCTGTCATGGATCATAGAAAATTCAATCTTGCCCAAATTCATCAGTGAACTGAGAAGTGAACATCAAAAGAAGCAATAACTATCGTATTCTAGGTAAACAAATCGGTAGTGTGATTCGAGATATGTACGTCTCGTTGCTAAATGATATTTCATGTTTATATTATTCAGTTTAGCGATAGTGGTAAGAACATATATTGTGTACCCTGTACTGTTAAATTCATACAGAGTTTACAATTTGTCGGAGACGTGCGATCTGCAGTAGTCTGGGGACACCGTTAAATTCACCGTTTTACAATGTAACTTTTGAAATGGTTCATTAATCGAAGAGCTAACCATGTCTCTGAGCGATTGAATTGGCCGACAATAGTCTCTCGATAATTTGGTATTTGCCAAATTCGGCGATTGATTTCCACTAACTGACTTTGTACAATTGCACTCAAACCATCTTAAGTACCGAGAAGTTGCCAAAGGTGTGTAGATGATGGACTTTGATCTAGATAGTTTTCCTCTATTTACAAAGATCGATGCATCTATAGCTAAGGTACCGAAAACCAAATTGAAACGGTGATCCTCTTGGCATATCTCACACTACATCATCCATCTAAAGCGGAGCAGAACAAGCTATAAATTTCATCAACGCATACTCCTAATCGTAAGCTACTCGGATACATTACAGTGTTTAGCGTCAGCCGCGCGTAACTACAACCAATGTAACGATATTTGCGTTGAACCCTTATGGCACATCTCTCTACTTTGAATAACTGAAGCTGATTATAGCAACTGGTCTCGGCTGCCACAAAAAAAGTAATTTGCATGAATATGGCAGCGCATTATCAATTGATTGAACCACTTCTTGCAATGATGAGTCATATATACTCTCAGAAGACTCGATTTTATTATTATTGTGGATTCGTTTTACTTGTAGCTAGACTAATTGATTCTAATATCAGGGTTGGTCTTAATATGCCATATACGTCTCTGATATATGTGAGATACGTAGCAAAACAGCTTAATGTGATTGCCAATGGAGATACATATTGTCAGAAATATCAAAACTAACCATACTGGCAGATTTTGCCTTGGGTCCCTCTTTTGTATCACCTTTTGTCTGATAGGACAAAGAGCATGCGTTGATTCGATTCCGTTAGATAATGCTAATAAGCAGTGCCGTTTGGACTAAAATGAATCTCAAAAAAGACAGCGAAATGATACAAGCATAGCGCTCACGGGGCACCACAATTGAGTACCCGAGAAGAAAATATCATACAAAAACGAAAATACATCATATCATTGCAAATATCATTTAGATGACATATGATACAATACGACGCTACAGATACCTTTCGTCAGCGATGAGACGGTGTCATCCTTTGAACCTAATCAGAGAGAATATGCTCAGAATATTTTATCGCTCGGCATGAAGGTTAAAAAAAACAGTGGAGGATCGTGATACAACTATATTGACACGACTCACTTCCTTGAGATTTTAATCTAAATGGCCGCAATAGCTGACTAAATTTATACCTCACCCCAGAGTTGAATCACAATAAACAATATGGTGGGATTGTCCCTTCGCATATAGTGATACGCGGGTCAGGGCTTCGACACCATTCTCATTGTCCAATAACAGATACTAAGGTTCGGCAGCAAAGTGTGCACTTCAAGCTAACAGCCAATCGGATAGGAGTGGGTCCGATTGCGACCACGGACCTTTCTAAATTTAGGCCATCTGCCTATAGAGTATGACTATTTCTTCTTTGCCGTCTTTACCGAATTCGCGTTCACCACTACAAACAGTAATTAATCAATGGGTAAGGAAGTTTCAGATTGTTTTAACAGTTCTTGGAGACACTAAGACGCCGGCAACTGAACAAGTAGTCAAATTGTGTGACTTTGTCCAGCGAGTAGCACACAGCGAGACATTAGTGAACAGATCCAAATCAAGGTCCGGGAAACTAGGAAAAGGTAGCCACTATACAAGACACATGCCAAATAAAAGCGGAGATACTAACCCCGTAGAACAAATCCCACTAAATTGAATATAGTAATAACAGAAAGAAAGTACATACTTCCGATGAAGATATTGAGGCTGAAACAGCAAACCATGGATATCATGATGAACACCAGAATTAAGTAGTCAGGTGGAGGGCTGTAGAACTCCCACACAGTTGCGGCGGCTGAAAAAGGGCAGAGAACGGCGAGATGAATCAGAACTTTGTGCTAGATGGGTGTTTACCGAACATGTGATAGCGCGGCTATTGATAATCGATCGGCCGTAAGTTCTACAATGCTATGACAAACGACCTCACAACATCTAAATCTGAAATGAGAAACTGCACATACCAAGTTACGCCGAACGAAGACATACCATGCAACAGCACCGAAACATAGTTCAGCGATTTCCAAGTGGTGATATTTGCGCCGTTTCGTGTTTGTCGGCCGATGTACAGGATAACACTGTTGAGTGCCAAGCAGACCCATTCCACATGCTTCGTGCTCAGGGTTGAAATACCTATCGCACAAAGTTTATTACATGAAATCTCAAGATATAAACTGTTGGAATGGTCTGCAGTAAAAGCTGTATGTACCCCGGGCTATGAACCGGTTAGATCTCGAATTTAAATCGACGTTTCTGACGCCCACCGAGTCACACGAGTAGACATCTGCGTTAGATAAAAATCAAGTAGGTGCCTTTGGCAGTTTTGCATGTGGGCACCGCTGTGGTGATGTTTGTGCGCGGTTGATGATTGAATGTTAGATTGTAACGGTCGCACCGAGCAGGGGTTACATGCCTTTCTGTGTTCATTTTGTACACCAGTTAACTATGTATTCATTCAAATACTATTGATAAGGTGGCGCGATTGGCGAAATTCGCTGTGATTCGAGTGGTCTACGGCTGCTCTATGATAGCTAAAGTACGTTGACATGCTCAAGCCAATATAACAACCTCACCCCCCCACCCCCCCCCAAAACCGGGCACTCTCTGCTTGGGTTCTGTTCTGCGCTTGAATGTAAATATCGTATATTGAGACAAACATACAGCATTTGGCTTGGAGCGTACATGTAAGAGAATGCAACTGTACAGGAACGGATGTGACAGGACTGTCAAGTGCCTCTACACTTGGCCCTATACTCTCCATAGTACAATTAGATCTTACAAAACCCTAGCCACATGAAGGATTCCTTTGAAAAGTAGAAAGACTCGAAGAACGACAGTCGTCAATTAATTTGCAACACATACCTGTATATAGTTGATGCAAGATCAGATATAGAGCCCAGCTACCATACACATACATAAGAGCCAGTGAGTAGTTACTCAGTGCCGACCTGTTGATTAAAGGGATGTAAGTAATTGATGAAAAACAACTTCGTATGCAGAATGTATTGCATAGTCTATTAAGGCATAACACTATTCGGCTAGTGCTAGTTTGCACCACAAGAGACACTCACAAATGTACTCTCAATATCGCTCGCGTTTTATAAATTTACCCATCGATTTCCATGTATTTCAATCCTAGTAAAAATGTTTATTGTGTTGTCGTACACATAGGCACACATACGAAT